TTCCACACAGTATTTTTTGGTACAGGTATGGAATTTTCATCATACGATATTGGTAGCCCAAATTTTGCAGGCGGACCATAGATATCAGTTGTGCGTCGGCAGGGGATCAAACCCGGGACTATGTCGGCGAAAGTCCTAACAGCTGTGCCACCGACGCACAATATAGGGAGGACCTTGAGGCCTCCCCACTGACAAAAACTACACGCTCGAGCGCACCCTATTAGGGTCCGCCACGAGTTTCAACCCACCGAGGTGAAATGATGAGCCTCCACCCGGGGTCGTAGCATTCTTGATCACCTTGAACCCGGCGCCAGTTTGTAGGGATTCGACTTATTTCAAATCTGATCATGGATTGATATCACAGTTGGAGAACGATTGAAACTAATCAGGGATTAATTACTAGAGAGCTATTTTGTCCTAGTTGAGGACTCACTGTCAGCTATCCAGCACTCCCTTCGAATGGTTCTGTCAGCGGTATCAATCCGTGGTCAAACTAGAAGGAGTCTCCACTCACAGATGTACAGTTATTTAGAGGGTTTTGCATATTATGCCATGGTTATTGACAACAGAGGCCAGAGGCAATTGCCAATAGGTAAGGAAATAAGAAACGATGTTTGAAAAGTTAGAAGGAATTTTACGCACTCAGGAAGGTTGATAACTTATTAGTTAAGTGACGAGTAAGTATTTGGGAAAAAACTAATAAGAAGCAAAAAGACAAAGGATTGAAACAGGTTGCAAAAAGTAAAACAATTACACAGAATTTATTGCACGGGAGTAAAAGAGGTTGGATTAAATGTTTCTGAACATTGAGTTTAGGATTTTTACTTATGGATTCCTAAAGCTTTGGCTATGTGAAGAAGATGTAGACAAAATACACATTATATTGACATGATGATGAGCAATAAACTGTGCTCGAAACGTCATCCAGCTAGTAATACTGCATCGATGTGTGTTAAATCAACCTCACTGCCCAAATTCTACACTTACATTAGTGTAATCGAAATCCGTTTTGAATGCCTTGATAGTAGCTTATATATGACCCTGAATGAAGTCTTTGCTAACACGGCGTGATGAGAAATAAAAATGTGCTCCAGAATTAAGCTGCTGACTGTTCTGCATTCTGCTTTTGACAACCTTGTGGTGGTAAGTGTTCATGGCCGCATCTAGACAATATCTTGCTGGTACGGCCTATATGCTTAGCTCCTCAGGGGAGCCTGAACCCTTAAATACTAATGCATTTGCCTTGGTGTCAAATTTCTGTTGACGTGATTAGGGGTGACTAATTTTCAACCTTTATTTCCCTTGTTCTGTATGAATGAATTCCAAATGATAATCAGTCATCATTGTACTAATTATTTATCGACACTCACGACTGCTTAAGATTACTCCCAACTTTTCAAACATTGTTATTACTCATACGCTTTGATTTATTTCGTTACCAATTGACAATAACCTCTAACTTGCGTTGTCAACTAACACTGTTTATATAACCCCCCACCCCTAGGAAAAAGTGCAGCTTGGTTGAGAGGTTTTGTGTGATTTATTGACAGTAAAAAGCTGTTTAAACTTGTTAGGCAGACTAAAATGTGGTAGGATAATAAAGGTGAGAAACAGAAGTTGATGCCTCACTTATAAGGTGGGAAGTTGAGATGATAGCCAGTTCACCTAACCTCTTAGTGACATCCAGTTGTCTGTAGTCACTTAACTGGTAACCTCGATAAGAAGGACAGTGGGATAAAACCTCAAACATTTATAAGAGTAGATAAACGTTTCAAGAATTAGACGACAGTAAGAAGGAAACAAGCCTGAGTTAGATTTGATGGAGAAGATTTGTAGCTCAGGTAGATGATTTTGGTGTAGTTGTGTTCACTAAGCTGGATGGTTTATTTGCGAAGCTTTCATTGTCCTACTAAGCAACATATTCAGCTCATACTTCAATTTGACTTGACTTTCAAGTCAAGGAAACAATCAGTTCCAATACAAGTGGCCTACAGGGTGTGAAAACACACAAAAACAACCAATCACTTTCAAGGCCACTCACCAGTAGAGATGACAAATAAACTCGTGGAGAAATCTAAAAGCTCACTTCAGTGAATTGAAGTATGAGCTGAAGATGTTGCCTAGTAGGGCAATGAAAGCTTCGCAAATAAACGATCCAGCTCAGAGGACACAGCTACATCAGAAGCCTGAGTTATTCAGAAAAATTTTAGACGACGGTAAAAAGGAATTAAAAATCAATTCGTATGACTCCGTATTAGACAAGTTTTTCCGTTTTTAACGTGAGGTATGAGAGCATTAATAAGTGGATCACGTCCTAACTACAATTTATTGTTCATAATCTGATCAATTTATTCAAACGGCTGCATAATTTGCTTCATACATTTTTCCATCAACTGTTGTTTATTGTAATTTTCCATATCCCCGGTATAGGCGCTGCGTCCTTTCCATGTGCTGGTGTTTTTTCTTCACTCGATGAACAAAGATTCAGTGATCAACCTATCGTACTTCACCTAACTATACCGCTCTTCAATACTTTTATACCATCCAACCATATCGTGTGATTACATGAAAGTGAATAAAATGAAATGGTAGATCCCTTTTTTCTAGGTTATTTAACTTTCTAGGGTCGGTCATTCCATCTCTAACTTTATTCCTATGTTCCAATAATCTAACTGACCCCGATCTACTAGTGTGATCCATGTAACTGACCTTATAATCATTACTTAGGATTTGATAACTTATATATTATTTTTCTAACTTGAATCTGTTAGATCCAAAAGCTAACAAAGTTTATCTCTGAGGAGGGATGCTTGGCGACGGTGTTGGCTGGCTGCCAATGACCCTGTACATTGCAAACTGGTAAAGGTTAGAATTCATAGGTCAGTGGTTTCCCTACACTTGTTGAATGTTTAACAGACTTGCCCAGCAACCTGATAGTCCTGGATTCGATCTCTGATATGTCCATTGTCGCACACTGCTAAAGAGTCCAAAGAACAACGAAAGAACTATTCAGTACCTCCTGGTTTTCAACTTATATTATCAGTTTGTGATCTAACTTGAAGTGAATAGAGTCCCTGGGAAGCAACACTTGAGTGCACAATTATTGACCTCAACAGAAGAGAAGCAAATGTGAGCAATTTAGTTAAGAGTTTTATTTCTTAACAAATCAGCGACTTAATGTTATCACTAGGACTGTTAGCGACACAAAGCATATATACATTATACTAAATAACTTCTATCAAACAGGTTTCTTTAGAATAAGAATTTCTAAATCATCATATAACTCTTATCTCATTTAACTGAAGAACATTTATCAGCATTTGTTTAAATTTAGCTACAATGTTTCCCAAAATAGAGATCATAATCCTTCAGTGTTTTTAGTTTGTATTTTGTTTTGATGAAAAGATCATTGGAATTGTCGAAATTTGACAGGCAATCGATAAGGAAACACCACTAGCTTAACTTTTACAATCACCAAAAAGTTAAAGAAATTTCTCTAAAACCAAGTGGAGAAAATGATATTTTTCTCAACTGGGCATGTTATTTCTACTTAAACTCTACTAGCTGTTGCAACTAATATCATGAAACTGTAAAATATTTAGGTTTGGTTCAAGAGAGTGAGGAATTTTTAATTGACACTTTCTCACTCTGTACCAACGAGCCTCAGAAGATGTTAATGTGAGTGAATTTTTCAAATGAAGGTTTACAAAGCTTTAATTGGTAATATGTTTAACTATGAGCTGACATCATTTAGAGAACCGTTGTAAATCTAGGAAGCACTTTTCCGTGTTAATTTGTAACTATTCAGCAGTACGCACCCATGACAACAACAGGGACTGAACCCATGACCTTCCAATTACAAGACTAGCTCGTAGACCATTAGGCCACTGTGTTCCGCTCAATGGCCTGTGAATTCCAGCTTCTGCCAGTTTGTTGTTTGTATAGTCGGTGTTATCGGCGAGTAACTGTTCACTCACCAAACCTGGTGGACCCCGTTAATCATGACTTCTTACGAGAAATTCAGGTACCTTCTTATATAGAGATGGTGAGTGAGTAGTCTACCAGCTGTCCCTGTAACCGGTACGTCTTGAGTTCAAAACCCTGTGAGTAATTATTGCTAAAAAAGTCCCGAAAAAGCGTGAAATAGCTATCCATTACTCCTATAAATGATGTCAGATTGACATCCAACCTGTGGCCATTTATTATTATTATTGTTTCCTTTAATTCCTACAGGAACACAGGGCTTCAGCCGTGCGTCTCCATTGCTTTCAGATCTCTGCTAGAGTCTTCACCTGGCTCCAAGTCTACCCACACGCTTTTATCTCCTCTTCACATGACCTCCTCCAAGTCACCCTTGCACTGACTACCAACTCGCCTCTTCCCTTTCGGGTTCCACTAGAGCAATGGCTTGTCTAGTGACGTCACTTGATGGTTTCCTCAGAGTATGGCCAGCCCATCCATCTCCATTTCTTCCTGCCTATTTGTTTCACAGTCGGTTCCTGATTGGTTCGCTCCCAGAGATCTCTGTTGTTGTGGCTAACTGAATTCCTGCAAATCAACACTTGTGTAATATTTTTCGATAAAGAAAGTAAGACGAAATTTACAGAATAAGATGACCCCATCCTATTTCACAGGTTCTCATCAGCTGCAGACTACCTGAAATTACAATGATTATATAGATGGTAATAACATATTTTAATGTTTGAGTAGTAGTAGAGAAGAGATGCGTCAATTTTATGGTATCTCTTCTCTACTCAAACATTAAAGTATGTTATTATCATCTATATAATCATTGTAATTTCAGGTAGTCTGCAGCTGATGAGAACCTGTGAAATAGGATGGGGTCATCTTATTCTGTAAATTTCGTCTTACTTTCTTTATCGAAATTTGTCAAGAGAACCAAATCTATGAATTTGTCTAATACTTTAAAAATTTTGTTCAGATGAAAACAAAGCAAAACCAGGTTTTATAGAAACAATAAAAGTAATATAAAAACTCACCTGAATTACTCCACCACTATTTTTACCAAATAGAAAGTGTTTTGGCAAGCCTAAAATTTTTGCCATCCAGTCGATCATAACTACTTCTAATTCAGTGCAAGCTGGATTTGAAACCTGTAATTAATTATGTTAAAAATTATAATTAAATGGGTAGACTTTGGCTTTTATCAATGTTATTATTAGTAGTAGGTTCTGATAGTAGTAATTATTGTTAATATTGGTTCTCAGGCTGACTAAAAATAGTTACCACAATTACTCCTGTAAATTAACTCACAGTTGCATATTATCATTATGGATAATTACGGTTGGTAAAACGTGAGTTAAATAACACCTAACTGACTAGCACTTCGAGTTGAATCAGTCGACTAAGCAATCGCATAGATTTCCATTTTAAGATGGAATCGTGGACGGCATCTGAATGTAGCCGACTGACTGACTGATTGATATGCACTGATGAGTCGCGTGAAAATAATCAAATACTTGAGTTCTAGGTTATTTTCACGAGATGCCTTCGACAATTCGGTCAGTAAACTACTAGACTCTCTCTGTCTGTTAGTGTATTCTTTGAGAAGTTCTGCTTGACTTATTTCACCTTTCTGGTGATGTTGTTTGACAGTATAGTTCACCTTTATACTCATGAATTCGCGTCCAAAGCATCCCAGGAGATAAGCGTTTTGTTTTTGCTATCTCGAATTTGTCTCTCGAAAAGAGATTTTGTTGACAAATATCAGCGTCGCCAAATTAAGACCAGATAGGAATTCATACAGACGCTGTCTAAAAGAACTGACTACAAGGTAGGGCACCTGGTAGATATAAATTTTAGACAAGATCTTCATGAAATTCATGGTATGTATCAACCAGCTCACTTGCTCCTGTGGAACATCTTGTACAGGCCATGCTCAGTATTTTTTCCCTCAAACATATCACTGAACCTACACGATTTTCTAGAGGATTGTTTCTGAACGTCATGTGAATTCACAAATTTAATTTACATTCATCTATAGAGTACGAGGGGACATTGCCAAAGGCGTAGGAATCATAATTCTTCAGAACACAGAATCCAGGGCATTCCTTATGTAAAATTCCAAACCTTGTCTAAGAATAATTCAGTTCAATTAATAACCTTATGGAGGACCGGATTTAGAGTATATTTTATTGTATTTTATGGCAACAGCGAAGAATAGACACCACAGTCAAATGACCTTGAACCAATCAATCAGATCACTTGGCGTTAGAAATGGATGCTCCTCATAATCTTGATTACAAGTTTCACTCAGATTTGGTTTTTGACTCCTGCGTAAAAAATGGGTTGATAGAGAGGACTGAAACATGCGTATCTGGAGGGTCAATGACACTTCAGTACTGCTAGGCTATCGACGGTTATGCATTCAGATGTAATCACTATCATAGCAGGGAGTCTGTAAGAATTGACAAGTTGTACATTATTGTGATTTTTTTTTAGATATTTTCCTCTCGAAATGAAAACTCTGCCTTAGTATAATTCTGCGTATATACAACAGTTGGCTGTTGAGACAACCAGTATCTCTGCCACATTTTCAGAAACAGAGAAGACTAAATTGTCTGTAGTGCAGTGGCAACAGGACTGTGGGAATATTGCCTTACAAAAGATTGATGGAATTACTTGTGTACTTAGAGGAACTGGTATCGTCCTTCATACTGTGATGAAACAGTACACCATGGGAAGAGAGGAGCAAAGCACGTTTGGATTCTGGGACCGTACGGTGTAAATCTTAGAAAATGGTTAGTAGAACGCATTCCAAACAGATGTGCCGATGTTTTCATACCAATAATACAACTGTCGGTCATCCCACACACTGTCATTCACACGAACGAGTGGGGAGGTTATTCGCAACTATCTTCCGTAGGCTATATTCATCATAAAGTTAATCATTCTTCTGAATTGATGGATCCTGTTTTGGAATAAAGCAAATTATGATGACTATTCTATTACTAATGATTTACATAAAATATAAATACTGTGAGTTAACGTTTCTATATCCAGCTAGTCAACATTGTCAACGAAACCTTCTAGCAAGTAAGTGCAATCAACTATTAAAGCAAACAACACCTACCCAAGTGAATCCAATTGATGAGATGCCAGCTGATAGAATGTCAGCACATATTGAAGAATATGAACAGCCACAAGGGAAATACGCGTGGAAACGTGGATGTTGCCAATGTGTAACCTGAATATTTATTAAAATATTTTCTTTAAAGAAAAAGGTTTCAGGCTAAGCTTTAAACAAAACAACAGTAAGAGTTCTGCAACTCACAGATTTCTGTAGCTGTAGAATTATGAAATTATGCGGAAGATATGTAACTCGAGTGGTTGTTTTTGATGTGGCTCAGTCCTTTGAGTTAGGTGGTTTAATCATGGAGCTTTAACTATCTGGATGATATCTTCAGGGCTTAATTGAGTTTGAATTCAGCTGTTTTGAATTCTTTATGAATAAAACAGAAGTCGTCTTCAAGAAATATTTTTGCCCTCTTAACATCATCAGAAGATATGTGTACAGTAGTATCAAACTATCAGCAAGACATCGTCCTCAGAAACATCATGAAAATAACTACAAGAATCTATTTAAGGTGAATGTCACCCACTATCCAACTGAAATTAAATTGTTCTATATTAGATGGTTGGAGGTAATCGGTAGGAAGCCTAGGTTTCATGCTAGTTGGCACTCGTCACAACACACATCACACTAGTTACTAGTGTCCAATCAAAATATCCAATACACTCCTACAGGAGGTAAATCGCCAGCCCGAATAGCTCAGTGGTAACGTCTCTGACTTCAGCAATGGGTGACAAGGGTTCGAATCTCAGAAGGGACATGAGTTCCTTCAAGTTTGCAGATACGCCTTGCTGATGAGTGAGTGCCAACTAGCGTGAAACCTAGGTCCAAGGCTTCCTGCTGATTGCCTTCAACCATCTAATATCATCAAATCAATGTGCACCATGATGGCCACATTACAAACCTGACTGATAGAATTCCGTCTGCACCAAAGAAAGCACTAGAAATATCACACTACTTACTCGTGTCCAATCAAAATAAATTGTTCTATAAATGGCTTTACTTCAGCTGAAGCTACTGAGTATAGAGATTCAGGAGTAGTTGTAATCCATAATCTAAATACCTCAGCTAACTGAAGAACAGTAAATGCGAAGAATGTTATAATACTAAAGACTCTCTGTAGTCCTTTTTGATGGTGATATATAACTCGTATATTATGTTTTATCTGTATTACACCCTTTTTAAAATACAAGATTCAGGCAATGAGCTCTTGTTTGACATACGAACAAGACACATTAACGAGAGTTTACAAAGTGGGGACTACACTATTCAAGGTTAACTCAAAACATTCATTTCAGGATTGATCAAATTTACTTCCACTTGCACATCAACAGATGAGATTTGACTTCATTTTAGCACTTCCCATTTTTTGCAATGATTTCCATGATAATTTATGCTGTCTACTTCTCCCGCTCCCCGTCTCTAGAAGTGAAAATTTGCGAGGACATTACCAAAAAGTGTAAACTCCACAATCGAACCAACTACATCTGGAATTTTATTTTCTCGCGTCAAACGGAGAAGCAATGAACAGAACAGATTATGAAAAGGATGCGATTGAACACCTATCTGAAGGACCATACCTACTCATTGAAGAGAAGAAGAAATCCGCCGAATTCAACAAAATGAAACTAAATACAAACAGATTCCTTCAAGAAATGAAACCCAAAATTGGAAATTCTCTCTGGTTTAAACTAAAACCAAAGTCTTATGTGCCTTCAAGATTCCACGGTCAACCAAAGATACATAAACCGACGATTCCATTAAGACCAGTAGTTGATTTCACCAACTCACCGACATACAACCTCTCGAAATACTTACTGTTGATACTACTACCACTACAAAAGGACATTCAAAATATTGTGATAAATTCATATGATTTCAAATCCCAAATAGAACATCGAGAAATTGATAAAGAAGACATTATGGTAACCTATGATATTAACTCATTATATACTAGTATCCCTATTACCGAAAGTCTTGATATCAACTCCAGTCTACTAGAATCAGATACAACGCTATCACAAAGATGTCCACAGGACACCAGTGAAATAATTAAGAGCTTGAAATTCTGTCTATAAAGTAATTATTTTACATTTAAAGGGAGCTTATATAGACAGAAATGGTGTTGCTATGGTTTCACCAGTCTCCCGAATAGTCGCCGACCTTTTCATGAATATATTCGAAAATAAAATCTTTTCAAGAATACTCGCTCCTAAATTATGGTTAAGATATGTAGATGATACTTTTGTAGTGCTAAAACGAGATCTACACAATTCATTCCTGGAGAAAATAAAGTGTGTGTCTCCCAGAATCCAGTTTACTTCGGAAGTAGAATCAGACTTCAGTGAACTACCATTCCTAGACTGCCTAGTTAAGAGAAAGGAAAACGGACAGTTTAGTATATCCATATTCAGGAAGAAAACCCACTCCAACAAATATTTAGACTTCAAATCATCACACCCCATCAGCGCAAAGATTTCAGTTGTTTCAAGTCTTCTTAGACGAGCACACTCTCTGATAACGGATGAGAAAGAAAAAGAAGAAGAAATATCAAACGTTACTGAAACTCTCAAGCAAAACAACTACCCATGGAACTTCATCAACAAAATCAACACAGACATTAAATATGGCCGAAAACGCATTCCAAAAAGATGGACATCAACAGTCGTCATTCCATATAGAGCAGAGACGTCAGATGATATCAGAAGAGTACTCAATCAGCTCGACATTAGAGTTTTCTTCAAAACATCAGACACACTTCAAAGCATCCTTGTCCATGTAAAAGACTAAATCCCTAAAGATTCTCTATCTAATTGTGTCTATAAAATAAAATGCTTGGAATGTGATGCGACATACATCGGACAAACATAGCGAGAAATCAAAATCAGAATCACCGTAGAGCCGACTCTATTCAACCACCGAGAAATCCGGTAGAACTTGAAAAACTTGAAAAATCATCAGCCATAGCTTGTCTACACACTGTAGAATCAGGCCACAAAATTGATTTTGACAATATTGAAATAATCCAGAAAATCTTCAGAAATCACAAAGAACGTCTAATATCAGAAGCACTTCATATCAAGTGGAATCAAAATTGCCTGAATAGGAATGATGGACTAAAACAGAATCTGACCTGGTTACAACACCTCCCTCCCCCATGAAGTGACAAAATCAACACGAATGTGATAAGCAAGTTCACTATATAAACAAACGCATACTACTTTTACACACTGATCAAATCCAACAATCCACACTTGATTTTGTTATCTTTTCCAATTGACCAACTTGACAACGAAAAATGACCCCAGACAGACAAACGATGATCAAGTTGGTGAACTTTGTTTTGATACCATAACAGACGTACTATTACCTTTGTTATTTGGTTTAGTGATCTTCATTGCTATTTAACTTTCAATATGTCCCTTTAACTTGACCTAAGTCTATTTTCTCACCCCCTAAGACTTTGTTATATATATGCTGAGATTTGTAAATTCAGGTTTAATAATACTTTGATAAAGCTATTAGCAATAAATAGCGAAACGTCAGTAAAAACAATATCGTTTGTTTTTCATTCATAGGGAAATACAAAAACAAATAAAGTATAATTATATTTTAATAGTTTACACACAATGATAAGTTTTGTTATTGGTAATAAAAACCTTTATTATAATCAATATCATATACCCAATACCCAAATTTTTTCAAACCGTTAAAAGTGAACTTGGTTTGGACATATATAATAGGGTCCTCTACTATACTAGAGTGAATCAAGGCAGCATCTTCCGTTGATTCTTTCAAAGCAGCAATTGACTTCCATTATACAATAAATCGGAACGATTAACATGGGACTACAACCAAGAAAATGTCCTTAATAATCTGCAAATTGTAAACTGGACAATAAGTCTTGAAGCATAACTTCAGAGAATGATGAAACCTGTTATACTGTTTAAACTGATATCATGAAGGGTTGGTTTGTAGGGATTTGACTAATTATAGGGTTTCTTCATGAGCCAACATCGGTAAGAGACCCATTGGAGAATCTGGAATTACAGCTGCTTCGTTTCAGCTTAGGATTCTTCATCAGTGTGCACCCACCGGGTTTTGAATCCAAGACCTTCCGGTTGCGAGGCGAGCACGTAGACCATTGAGCCACCGGGACCCGACCCAGTGTCCAGCCAATGAATTCCAACTTCTGCCAACTGACAATATAGCATGACCACTAGAGAATGTCATCGCTGGTGAGTATTTGCCCTTACAACTCTCTAAAGCTTGAAGTTACTACTTGATAAACTTTATGACTTTAGAGTCTTCTTACTTCAGACCAAGAAGTTTTTTCACTGAGACTCACTTTATATACCAAAGCTTTATCCACTAGGCCACTGTGTCACGAGATCTATCTGTTGTGCAGCGGATATCAGATATTACTTGCTGACGTTTATGACGACGACTGATGGATTCCAGTTTCACTGACAACACCGTCTATCACTGAGGAACGAATACATCTGACTGATGAGCCCGAAATGGGTGGAAACGCACATCCTGGATTTTATCCACAACCGAATCAGTAACTTGGAGTTATTAACCGTGAGAATATCAAGGGATTCGTTCGCACAGTCCATGTGCCGAAATGAAGCTAATCAATCAGGTGAGACATGTCAACAGAAGTCACAGGGACCAATGAACAACACTTTAGAGACCTTCATTATTATTTGCTTGAATATAAGCTAAATTAACACCAAACAAAATGTGATTACCCCTGGCATAATAAACTTTTCAACATCTTGCATAATTTCTTCCCAACTTTCTGGTTCATCTGGTGCTTTGTCTGGAATCAGCTTAGCCAGATAACCTGGTTTCACTTTTGGAAAAACTTTTCTTTCTTCAATATTCTCTAAGTAATCAGCCACATATTGAACCATTTTTGTCCCATAATGACGAAATTCATCATGATCCAAATATTCATCTTGAATAGAATAAATAAAAAAAGAGGAAAATTGAGACACTTATTTACTATATGAGTAAAAGAGTAAGATAAAATATGGTATTAGGTTGATTTTGAGTGAAAATGTATCATCTCCAGTAGTGCTGTGCATCGGTGGCACAGCGGTAGAGTGCTAGCCGACCACGCAGGTGGTCCGGGGTTCGATTCCCGGCCACAGACGAACTCCTTTACCTCGCTAAGTCAGTGGTAAGACTGGTAGAGAAGGACTGTTGGGCATGATGCTAGCAAACCCATCCTGTAAAAGTAATCACCACTGCTACAGAAACTTGAAGCCTTTATCTTGAAGCCCTATGTTCGACTGGGAACGCTAAAGGAATAAAAAAAATCAACGTTCCGCATGAAAGTTATCATGCTCAGTTACATACTAAGGCATTTTCAACAGACTGTAGACTTTCGTGTCCACCTATCTTCACTCGATAATGACAAGGACGAGTAACCAGGAATTCTGGCATTGCAGTGAGTCAGCTAACGATTTCTTGCCAAGCACATCTGCAGAAAAAATGACAAATGAATCTGGTACACATTCAGTAGACTGAACCTCAGGTTGCACCACACATCAGGCAGGCAGGTCAGGAGAACCGAAATTGGAAATGACAAGCTCAGCGTCCAAGGATAACATGGTGGAGATTTAGTGGAGAGGAGATGAAAGCTTTTGGTCAGTCGTTGAACCACCAGAGATGGGTAACAGTGGACAGACTCCAATAGACATATGTAGCTTAGGCTTATACAAAGTAAATCAGAAACAAACAAACATCTTGTTTGTTGGTGCAGTCAATAATTGACAAGCACCCGTTATAGTTACCTCCAACTGTGTATGGTACAGTTACAGCGATTGAGACGGTTAGGACATGTGTTAAACATGCATCCCTAGCCATCAACTAACTCGATGAGAAATGTTAGCTGACATAGGATGGATCAGGTTGGAAAAGAGCTAGTGGTGGTCAAACCAAAACCAACATGGCTTCATCAGTCAACGAAGTTCACAACGGTTAGTTTAACCCACCCAGCCAAGTAGGGAGGTGTAGACTTCCTGGTTGGGGTCCTCAGGATGGTGAAAACCAATAGCTGGAGATAATGAAAAATATGGCTCAAAACCATCGTCAATGGCTGGCGTAGATGCATTCACTCTTTGTGATTTATAATATTCAATGAAATTCTATTGTTCCTTTATATTACTGTTCTTATTGACTCATATTTCTGTTTATTATCCATCGTTTGACTCTCTTTTCTCTTTTTTGTGTGGTACATGGAGGGAGTGTGGCAACTCTAACTGCTGCACATATGGGCAGGGTTCTACGTTAAAAACCAGTCAGTCAGTCAATCAGTGTACGGTGCTTCACGTATAACTGTAGAAGAGCAAAAAGGACGGCATACGCCAGATCCCTCGAACATGTACCGAACAGGCTTCGATTAAAAAGAGTGAATAGTTCAAATTCATTAGTTACTAAACACCTGATAAACAAATAACGCCAAGTGGGGACGCGCTGAAAGTATTCAAAATAATTAAAAGACAAAATGACCGAAGTTTTTCCGGTTCTTTGAGGTTATCTCGATAAAATAGCTAAAATTTATTATATTGATTTTTGATTTTGCTTATAACTTGATGCCACACAGTACTATTGGTACAAGTATGGAATTTTCAGCATGTGATATCGGTAGCCTAAATTTTGCAGGCCGACCATTGATATCGGATGTGCGTTGGCAGGGGATCGAACCCCGGACCATTTGCAAGGTTGGCAAGAGTCCTAACCGATCTAACCTACATCTTCAGAAGGAATCCGCCGTGGGACTTCAGTCGGACTAGTAAATTTTTTCCTTCATCTCTCTCTCTTGACTTGACCTTCGATCCTTTGAACTCTACTCACCGCATTACATTCAACATCTTTTCAGTTAACTTCTCACACACCAAATTCTGAATTTCCAATATTAAGGGTTGTAATGAATATATTTTATTATCTTTGATTACGCAGTTATCACTGAATCTTGATGTAGTTTGTTCTCTGAGGTTGAAAGTTTATTTGAGAAGCTCTCATTGCCCTACTTGGCAACATCTTCAGCTCATACTTCAGTCTGACTTGACTTTCAAGTCAAGGAAACAATCAGTTCCAACACAAGTAGCCTACAGGGTGTGAAAACACACAAAAACAACCAACCACGTCCAAGGTCACTCACCAGGGGAGATGACGAATAAACTCGTGGAGAAATCTAAAAGCCCACTTCAGTGAATTGAAGTATGCGCTGAAGATGTTGCCTAGTAGGGCAATGAAAGCTCTGCAAATAAACGATGCACCTCAGAGAACACAACTTCATCAAAATCATCTGCCTGAGCTACAAATCTTCTCCATCACATCACTGAATTATCACCACTCTAATAGCAAACTTATTCATTTTTACGATAAAATTCGCTCTTGCAATATATATATATATATATATATGCATTAATAATTGAAGATAGCTTTGTCATGTATATGTTTTATTTCATTACGACTTTCCTACACTAATCTTTACTGGAGGAATGACTCCTGATGGTAAACTAAATGTATGATCAGATGTTACAGATTGTACGCAGCTAATGAGAACACACTCATTAACTAAAAATAGATCCATGTTATTCTGCACCTATGTGTCTTCTGTCTTTCTTCAAATTCACTAAGGGGAATTCGTACATGAAACTATTGTTTATTGGCTTTTGTTATCACCACTCCAATGTATTGATGGTAGCAGTTGTAGTAGTAGAGAAATAAAGACTTGTATGGAGGGAGTGCTTGTTTAGATATAATACAAGAATTAGTGTGCGTCGGTGGTATAGCGGTTAGGACGCTCACCGACCATGCACATGGTCCGGGGTTCGATCCCCGGCCGACGCACTCCTTTACCTCGTTGAGCCAGGAATAATGCTGGTGAAGACGAAAGGTTGGGCATGAGGCTAGCAACCCCATCCTATAAAATAAACACTGCTACAGAAACTTCAAGCCATTAGCTTGAAGCCCTATGTTCCACTGGGGAACGTGAAGGAAAAAAAAAAACAAGAATTAGTGATCAAATACTGAATTTCTCATCTTTCCAATCATATTACTACTTATATCCTTGGCAGTAGTAGTTGCTGTTGTTATTATTATTGTTGTGATGTCGTCAATAGCAATAATAATGTCAAAGTTTTAAAAAAAACATACTTCACTAAATCCAGATCAATAAGCCATAGTGAAATAAGAAACCTGGCGAAGAATTCAACTTCTAAATGCAAGACGTAATTACGTAAAAATGCATGCCTTAATTTATAGGGAAAAATATTATTTTTTCAGGGTACAGTGAGAGACAAATATGTGGAACATTTTTTAAAATATATTTAGACAATGCAAAACAAATTCAGTAGAAAGGATTTCACATGTGTGTCAAATGTCTGGAATACTTTTTGCCTATGTCTGAAGGGAAGAATATGAGTTAAATCTAAACGAATTTATGCCCGATACAATTGCAATTGTGTCAAGTTTTGTGGATTGAGTGGTTTACCTTATCATCGTTTAGAATAACAGCTGAAATTGTAGGAATTAAGAATGCAATGCCATTTAAATCCTCCACCTAAAATTCAAATATTTTTCATTATTGTTGCCTATCAGTGGTATTGTTATTATTGTCCCCTTGAATTTCGAGTGCAATGTAGATCTTCAGCAGCATGTCTTCAGTTAGTCCCATTCTCTGTGATCCTCTTTAGCTTGACTCACGACTGACAATAATTTCTCATCTCCTCCTGTCACGATCTTACCCATATCACTCTCAGAAGGCCCACACATCGTTTCCTATTCGGGATCCACATGATGGCCTGGCGTGCAATATCATCCAATTGTTTCCTCAGCGCGGGCTCAAGCCATCTTCGTCTTCTTCGGAATATTTGTTGAACAACAGTTTCTTGGTTGGTTCGTTCCTAGATTCGGATTCGATTCCTAGTTGAGGAGCTGGCTTATGCGTAGGTGCTTCGCCGATAAGATGCTAACCAACCACACATGTAATCAGATTTTCTATCTGCGATCGATGCACTTCTAAGCCTCTCTGAGCCTGTAGTAAGTCATTTAGAGAAGGGAGGTGGAGCATGAAGCTACCAACCCCACGCCACAAAACATATCACTGCTACCGAAACTCCAAAGCCGAAGGTTGAATCATTATATTCCATTCGGAAAGCAAAGGAATAAAATAATTAGAAAAAATAACTGTTGGATATTTTACTCCTTGAAATGTTATCCACTGGAAAAAAACGACATGAAAAAATAAACTGATACGAATCAAATTAGGTATCTTAAAATCAGTCAGTTCTTGGGGAGAAATGATCACAGCTTCCAGGTATAGCGCTAATCATTTCTCCATTTAAGTGAACGAAACGACGGTCTGATTTTTTACAGCAATTCATTGTGGCATCATTATTATTCCTTTAGGTTCCAAGGGGAACACAGGGCTTCACCAACACATCTACATTTCGTCCTGTATGCTGAAATTCTCTGTAGCTAACCCGACGGTCGCCACTCAGCTCTCACCGCCCTCCGATTCATGACTGATTCATCGTTTTCCATCCATGGTCCACTCGAGGACCTGGCGTGTGATATCACTTAATGGTCTCCTCAATGGCTGTTGAACTCATCCTCATTTCCCTCGGAATAGTTGTAAGGAGATTAGTTCTTGATTAGTTCGTTCCTAGAGTTTCTGGTTGCTAATCCTTTTCAGTCAACCATCTGGTCTTCAATATGGAGCTAACGAAGGAAGCAGCTAAAAGAAGCCTGAAGCCTGTTGAAAATTCTTTTCGTATGAAGGCAAGTTTCTGACCCATATAGAAGAACTGACTTAACCTTTGTATTGAAAACCTGAATTTTGTTCTTTGTGCTTATTACAGCTGACTTCCAGATTGATTTCAGAGTGTTTAAGGTCTGTATTACCTTTCCGATTTTAGTTTTCACATCCTCGTCTATGCCGTC